AATCTATAAAGGAAAAAAGAGCAAAATGAGAACATGACAAAGTAAGAACCAGAACAAATCTTGTTCTACTGTCTGAATTTCACTGCTTCTGATCCTGGCCACTTCAAAGATGTTAGTCACCGGAGCTATATATAAGAGATAATACACCAATAGTAACAGAATTAAATGAGTCTAGTAGTAGTGGAACATATATTGATGAACAACTTTTGACTAATACAGAAATGAAGAGCATAGAAAAGATACTCCTCGCAGAGATAAAAAAAGTAAAAATGTGCCCATTAAGAAGTAGGTAGTTGCACAAATCCAATCTGACAAAACTGTGCCAGCCAACAAACCGGATGTCATACTGAGGCATAATGTGGAAAAATGGTGTAAGATGTAAAATGGATGAAGTATCCGTGCCGGCAGAAAAATTGGGGAGTAAAAACATAAACGATTCCGGTCATAGTTGGCTCATTGAGAGCTATGCCACATTCAATAAAAGGAAATTTAAAGAAGAAATTATGCAGGAAATCACACTATGTGGGACGGTCCACATTCTTCGAAAGGAGCAGCAGCACCAAAAAATTCGAGCATTTATTCCCTGAGGAATCGAGTAGAGACCTGGAATAAATACTTAAAAATCCCGACAAATAAAAATCTTGTCATGTTTAAAAGTGACGATAATAATAATAATAACGGGAAAAACAAAACGAAATATTTATAAATTTTTATATTATTAACGAAAGGAAAAATCGATGATTTCTGGTTCTACTGCTGCTGATGCTGTTGTTAATTAATTTAGAGTAAAATTTTGGGTGAAATAAAACATCTGACATGACGGAAATCAAGGAGGGGGTGAGTGGGGAGAGAAAGAGAGAGAGAGTGACGCATTTGCATTTGAGATAGACTTTGACGAAAAATTTTTTTTTTTTTCCCGGGCTTTTTTTTTTTTATTTTTGTTTGAATTTATTTAAAGTTTTGAGGAAAATAAATAATTCAAGGGAGTTGGAGGAAAAGGGTGTGAGCCGGAAAAGTCGGAAAAGTTCAATCGGTGGTAAATTTTTCCTTTTTTCTATTATCATTTCCGTCATCATCTTTTGTCTCAATTACTTTTTTTAAAAAATAATAAATTCGCGTGCGATTGAGTAATTTTCACGACGACGACGACGACAGCAACGACGAAACAAAAAAAAAAAAATTTTTTTTTTCCTTTTTTCTATTGACACTTGTAATTTTTATACGTTTTTTTTCTCTTTCGAATGACTTAATGAAATTTGGCACGCGACAAACGAAAAAAAAAAAAATTTTTTTTTTTTCTTCTGCGTGAATAATTTGTTTGACCAAATTGAAAAATGAATTTGAAAAGAAAAGAAAAAAAAACATAAAATAAAAAATGCTGTTGTTGTTTTTACGACGGTTCTGTCGTTTTGTTTTGTTTTTATTTTTCTTTTTTTGAATATACAAATCAATAAATCTACATCTCCGATTCGATTATCGTTCGATGCATAACACTACGTTTATCTTCCTCTTTTTGTTCTCTCCCTTTCGGTGATGGCTACTTTATCCTTATCTGGCTTTTGTTGTCGAGTAGAAGATGTCGTATCTTCTATAAGGCTGAATATCTTGTTCTGTTCGTAATGGGTTTTTTTGGCAGTGGCATAATTCAGAATGTCTAAAGCTGTAAGTAGTAGAGCTGTTTTCGTGGCAATACTCATTAGTGAACAGAAAGAGGATAGGTAATGACTGGATATAGTTAAAGGGGAAAAATTTGTGTTGGAGAACATAGCGAAAGCGAATTTACGCGTTGTATTTTATCCGGATTGGGCCCGACACCAGCAGTGCTCTTTGTCTTTTGTTATTTTACTCTTCAATCCTGAACTCTTCGGTCTGGATGCCCATTCTATACATTTTTTGCCCTTCAATTTAGATCTTATTAATTCAATAGAATCTATTGCCTTCGCATCTTTGATACCTTGACGAATTCCTCTAATGTTTCTAATTCAAAAGGGTTCCATTTAAGTACTCTTCCTTAAGTATTTCTGTTTGAATAATTTTTCATCCATACATCATCCCTCTCTGGTTCTTCAAGTTCACCCCCCTCAATTTCAGACGAGATATCAGTATCATGTTGAAATGTAAAAGAAATCTTTGTTGTACCTTTTTTTATAAACACATTTATAATATTTATTATTTTATTTATATTTTATAACACGTGGAGTGATACTTTCTACACAATCCATCATCAATTTAAGAATCTGCATTATATCTTCTTTGTTATTAGATTCTACTGGTAAACCAATTTTTTTGTAAAGTTCTTCGGGCTCTAACGGTTCGTTCTCTACTTGAGACTGTTGTAAGTTTAAATGACCACTTTTTCCAGGAGTTTGTTTCGAATTGATGTTTTGTTTTTCCCAAAGTTCATTATTTTTCTTTCTTAGAAAACATTCTTTCAAAAGATGTCCAGATTTTTTACAATGCCTACAGGTTTTTTGACTTCGAACTGAAGATGTTGGTTTTACATAATTTGCCTCTGATCTTACCTTATATTCGGGTGTACTACGATTCCTACAGTGACAATTGTTAGAATTTTCACCATCCTTTAACATTTTTAGAATTTTCTCTTCAGCAATTGCTGTCGAATATGCAGAATTGAGATTATCGAAGTTTTTCCATCTCAACATTTGGGATATTTTAGGATGCGAGTGAAAAATAAAGCGATCTAGAGTTATTTCGTTAACATATTCACTTTTTATAGACAGTGATTTTTCATCTTCTCTAATGTCTGTTTTAAAATTCGATATGATTTGATGGGTTAAATTTTTTAATCTCTCGAAAAATTCTGTAATTGATTCATTCGATCCCTGTTTGCAACTTGCTAATTCTTCTATAAGTTGGCTGTGGTGCCATCCTGATTGGCTTATGGGGATAGGTTTATCCTGATACAGTTCTATTATTTTGTTCTAACATCATTCCAGTTATCAAAATTGTACGTAGAAATTCGATTCCTAGCTTTACCAGTGATTCTAGAGTAGATGAATCTAAAGAGTGGGTATTTATTTTCCTCTGAAGAAAGTTCAACAGCATGGTCGCAATCGGAAATAAATGCATCAAGTTGATTTCTTTCTCCAGAAAAAAAAATTAGGAATTAAACTGCACAGGAAACTAAGAGTCAATTGGGATGGATTGAATAAAGGTTTATCGTTTCCGGACATTGTTCACAAAATGAGTTACCTTTTCTACTTACTTACAATATAGAGAATTCCCTGATTTCGTAGTAACGAAGAAAAAGAATTATTACTCTTACGTATTATCTGTATCGTTTGCGTGTAACAAGCAAGATGTTCTTAACAATGCCGAGAAATTTCACGATCACTGCACTAAATTGATGACACCAAAAGTTGACGGACGAACGTCACCGGAACACGACAAGACTATAAGAACCGTTTTTTAGGGATTCCACCTCCTTTTATATATGACTCATTCGTTGTTACTTTCACTGCAATAAAGGTTCTAACAATGAGCATAATAAAAACACAAAGGAAAGGGAAACCTTTTGGAAGATTCGCTTTTATTTTTTATTTCGGTGCCCATTGTTACTATTTTGGTACCCATTGTTATTATTTTTGATGTTTATAACGTCTATAAACGCTTTCGTAAATAAATAAAGGATGGGATAATAACAATATACTATCACTTGTTCTTGTCTTCTGCTTTATTAAATGCGAACAGAGAGAGAGAGAGAGAAAGCGAGAATGAGAGTATGAGACGTATTAAAAATAAAAGAGATCGATCAAAAAATTAAAATCCCGACTGAAAATTGATCGGAAAATGAAATTTTTGTATTAAAAATATTCTTTCCCTTCTCTAGAACACAAAAAAAAAAAAAAAAATTTTTTAAAAAGGTTTTCAAGTTTTATTATTATCATTGTTATTATTATTATTATTATTATGGGTTTTATCGTTTTTTATCAGGGTTTTACAGGCCGGGTTGTCTTGAATTCAATCAATAGCTTCACCTTTTTCATAATTTTTTTTTTTTTTTATTAAATTAAAATTTTTTTTTTTTTCATTTTTAATTTTTTTAATGACGTCACTATACAATAATTTTTTAAATTTTGTTTTTTTTTCAATATATTTTGTTGTAGTTGTTGTTGTTGTTGTTGTTGTGTGTGTGGAAAAGGAAAAAAGAAAAATCTTCTTTCAAAAATTGTTTCATTTTCTCTTAAATCAACACTCGTAAATTTCAAAATTAATTTTTTTTTTTTTTATCGGTTTTTCGTTTGTTCTTCTTCTTCTTTTTTTTCTTTGACGGTTACGAACGTGAAAAGAAAGAAAAAAAGGTCGAAAAAGACGAACTGAAAAAAAAAAAATGCGAAAAATCTGTCGTCGTCACGGTTTTGTTTCGATGATTGTTTAAAAGGTTTCATTCATTGGTAACATTTGTTAAAAACCTAAAAATCATTGAATTTTTTTGTGGACGTGAAGCAGCAGCAACAGCAGCAACAACAGCAGCGTGATATGATTTTTTTTTTAATCAAATTTTAATAAGTGAAATTTTTTTTTGGTCGATTTCCTTTTTTGAAAAAAAAAAAAAAATTATATAAAGAAAGAAAAGTAATAAATTTTTATGGTTGTGATCCGAGTGGAATGTATAAAAATGCACTTTTGAAATAAAATAGATAGGGGGAAAAAAAAGAGAGAAAACGAATCAAGATAGAGAGAGAGAGAGGATGATGTGAAAGGAAGGAACGTCAACTGAAATTTTTTTTTAACGACGAGTAATAAATTTTTTTTTTTTTTATAATGAAATGGATTTCAAATTTTCATTAACTTATTTTTAAACAGTATACTTGATAAGGAATAGAATGGATGGTTGAGCACAAGAACTTTGGGGAAAACGAAATGATTTTCACAAAGGAAAATGTCGCGCGATGCACATTCCGTCAGATTTTTTCAAACAATATTTGATAAATATTAATGTTGTCATGTAAACAAACGTGGAAAAACGATTGAACGGCATGGTTGCTGCAGCCCGAAAACACGAACGGATTGAAACCTTCGACATCGTTCCTACAAAAGAAAAATCACTGAAGTAAAAATAAAACAAGAAAATCATTTGGAATATTTCATGTAGGCCTACTACTTTACAAATTTTCTCATCCGAAAAAGAAACATATCGAAATGAGTATAGAGATGAGTTAGTATCAAATAAAAATGCCGGAAGGCATTGGAATTTGTGGCACCGCCAGCTACCTACCACCCGACGGCAGGAAAATATCGGGTGTCGAGTTATCGTGGAAATAGAAGAAGAAAACTTGTGAAAATTGACGAAATATAATATCACGTACAAGCACGGAAAAAGGTTTTTTTTTTTTTTTTATTAAAACCAAAGGATTGAAAACCGCAGCGTTTCGTGTGTAAAACAAACCGAGTGTTAAAAAAAAAATTTTGCAAAACTTTTTAAAAAAAGGAAAATTTTCAAATGATAATTATACCGATCGCCCTGCGCCAATTTGTCAAAGGTGCCCCCCCCCCCATTTGGTTGTTTTTTCACCAAGGCAATAGAGAAAAGAAAACCTTTCGTCAAATATCGAATTGTGAATGCCCTAAATCAAGGACTTAAGGGCGTCGACCGTGCCTATTTCGGGAAACGAAATTGCAAAACGAAATGAAGATGTTAAATGAAGACGTAACACGATGCGGAAGATTAAAAATATAATTTTAAAATTATTTAATAAAAATTTACCCCCCCCCTCCCCCCCAAAAAAAACTAATAATAATCATTAACTATAACAGAGGCGTGTTTTAACGATAAATAAAATCGTTTAACATGTAAGGAAATTAATGTAAAGAATCAACTTCCGGTATTAGTAGTACCGGAAATTCACGTTTTGTTTTTTTTTTTTTTCTTAAATTTCAATTTATTAATGCATTATTATTATTATTATTATTATTACTTACTTATTTTTATTACCTGAAAACAACACACCTTAATTGATTTTTGTCTATAACCACGACCTTCAGAAGTAAAGGAAAAAAAAAATTTTTTTTTTTTTTAAATGAAAATGTTTTGTTTACATTTCCATTCGTAACAGAGACATCTATTGACGAAAATTAATAACAAAAAGAAAATTTATTATGATATCAATTCAATTTAAAAAATGATTTCTTTTTTCCTGTCCCCCCTCCCCCCTCGGAATTATTTTTAATAATTTTTTTTTTGATTTATATCTCATTTAATTGCTGTCGTTATCGATGTCATTTACTTTTCGAAAAAAAAAAAAAAAACTTTTTTTATTAAGATAAATTAGATGTAAGAAACGTTAAATGCAGCATTTCAAAAAGTTTTTCTCTCTCTCCCTTTCATTAAACCTTTTAATGGCTTTCGAATTATTATTATTATTATTAAATAACGTTTTATTACGGTTGCATTATTGTTATATTTTTTATTTTCTCATTGTTACGATCATTACGTAAAATCAGGAAGAAAGAAAGAAAATAATAATAATAAAAAAAAAGAAAAATTTATTTAACGAAATTCAAATTTAACGAACTCGAATTCCGGAACGATGATGACGTACGTATGCTGTTGTTGTTGCTGTTGATTAATTTTTCGACCCGTTGTTGCTCCCCGAATGTTTTTATATTTATTATTTTTGACGTTAGATGTCACTAATCGTAGTGATAATAATTATTATTGTTTGGTAAAAAAAGTGGGCGTAACCGTTTTGTTTTTGTTTTGGTTTTTACATGGTTGTTATCATCGCTCGTCGTCGTTTGTTTACTTTTATTATTATTATTATTATTATTTTTGTTTTGGTTTCTTAATAATTTAACGCTTTTCACGTATTTCCTCCTTCTCCTCCTATTCGAATTTATCAAAATAAAAAAAAAAGAAAATTTATTATTATTTATTTAATCGTGATTACGTTTTCGATAAATGACAAAGGAAAAAAAGGAAAAATACTTGATGGAATGATGATTTTTTTTTTTTTATAATAAAACAATCAAAATAAAGTAAACCATTAAAAAATTTTGGTTTATTATTTTTAACGTCACGTCGAATTTTTTTTTCTTTAAAAAAAAAAAAAAAAAAAAGAAAAAGTTTTTAAAATTTAATCATAATAAACGTCATGGCGGTCGGAAAATCTTTCATTTTTTTTTTTTTATTTTATTTTATTTTTGCCTTCAGAGTTTTTTTTTTTTTCTTTTTTTTCCGTTTAAGGTTATAAAATTTAATTAAATTCATTATTACATAAAACATTGTCAACTCGAAAGTGTAAAATTTGTTTCTATGAAGGAAAGAAAACAAACTAACAACGGATATAGAGAAAGAGAGAAAAAAAAGAGAGGCATTAACGGGAAATATAAAAAAAAAGCAAAAAAAAAAAGAAAAATTCTATTGCGTAATTGCGTGAGTTCAAAAATAATAATAATAATAATAATAATAATAATATTAATTTAAACCAATTCATTTTTTTTTTTTGTTTAGAAAATAAAAGGAGAAAAAAAAGGTTAAATTAAATTAAATTACGTTGTCCGCCATTTTTTTTATTATTATTACTACTTTGTTAACCTTTTTTTTTTATTTTTTCATTTTTTTTTTATTATTTGTATTAATTTATTTATAATTAATAATAAATATTTGGATGCGGCGTAAATGTCAGGGGGAAGAGGGGAAAAGGGGGGAAATTGTTTTTCAAGTTGTAGTTAAACTCGAAGTTGAGTTTTTTTTTTTTTTTTTTTTTTTTTTTGGAAAAATTAATTAAAAGGTTAGTTAAAATGTTAGGAAAAGGTTTGGTCTGGTTTTTTTTAAATAAAAGGTTACTTATAAACAAATATTATTTAGTAGTTATTAAAAAAAAAAAAAAAAACTCGAAAAAAGGTTTTTTTTTTTTTTTTTGGAAAATGAGAGAGAAAATTTTTAAAAGTTCACTTTAATATTGTTTAATGTTACACAAATAAAAAAAAAATAAATTGATGACGTAACGAAAACTTTAAATCGATTCTGATTGGTCGGATCGACGAGTCTTTTATAAATTTTTTTTTTATGGTTTAAATAAATGATTGCTGTCACGTGAGATTTTTTTTTTTTTCGTTAAATTTCCGTACGCGGTATGAAAATTAAATGAGGAGGTAATCACGTAAATAATTGATGATAATGATAATGGTGATGATGATGATGATGATGATGATGATGATGATGATAATGATAATGATGATAATGATGATGAAAATTAAAAGTTTGGTGACTACGGTATAAAAAAATTAAAACTGGAAAAATAAAAAAGATATATATATATATATATATATCGAAAATTAATAATATCGAAACGTAGGAAATTCTATTTAAATAAATAAATAATAATTGAATGATTGAATGAATGAATGACGTCATTAAATAATAATATTTTATTATGAAATTGATAAATTTTGACGATTGTTTTAATGTTAATTAGTTAATTAAAAAACTTTCGAGATATGCGGTCTTGTCATGCTATTCATAAAATTTTCTTTTGTTGGAAAATATAAAATAAATTAAATATATTTGTCGGTACGAAGGCAGGGGCGTAAATAGAAGTAGAAAACGAAAATAAAATTTTTAAAATGTTTTAGAATTTGTGTGTGTGTTTTCGAGAAAAAGAAAAAAAGGGGGAAAGGGAAAAAATGTGGCACAAATCACAGAGACGAGTAGAGGCGAGTTTTTTTGGGAGGAGGGGAAAGGAGAAGAAGGTAGAGGAGCGAATTAAATTTTACTCTAAGGAATATTCAGGTTTATTTATTTATTTTGGTTTCGTAAAAAATTTTCTGGAGAAAATACGACAGGAAAATGTTTAAAAAAAAAAAAAAAATGTATCGAAGGGATTTGAGATTTGAAACAAGGAAATCGTTTTTTTTTTTTTTTTTTTTTTTTGGTTTTGATCGTTATTGATTATCGATTTTTATTTACAACCATTAATCTAACAGATGTATTTTATTGATTGATCGATGATTAATAATCGATGATTGTCTTTTTCTTTTTTTGTTTTCGGTTATAACTTTTTTTTATTAATGACGATTCTCGTCAATCAATTTTAACCAGGCAAAAATTAAGAAAATGGTATATAATGGAAGAACGTAGTCGTCGTCATCGTCGACGTCGACGACGACGGCGACAAGACAAAGACAAAGATCAATTGCTCGGATTAAGAAGAAAGTAAATTTTTCTTAATTTTTTGCGACAAAACGAGAGAGAGAGAGAGAGGGGGGGAGAGAATTCTTTTAAAATTTAATTTGTGTTTATTTTCGTCGCGAGAAAAAAAAAGGGAAAATAATTATTATTATTATTAATTCATAAATCTGGACGAAAAAAAAAAATTAAATATTTAAAAATTTTTTTTCACTTTTTGAATAATTAAATTATAAATAACCGACCCCCCTACCTCCCCCCCCCGGTTAAAATGAAAATGGAGTGCCTTCTGCTATAAAAATGATTCGAATGTTTATTGTTTTTTTTTTTTAATTTCAAACTTGTATTGCTGACATTTTACTTTCTCTTTCTTCTCTCTCTTTGTTTCTCTCTCTTTCTCTCTTTCTTTCTTCATCTTTCTCACCTTCTCTCTTTCTCTTTCTTTTCCTACACAACTTGTAAAAATTATTACGGTTTTACTTTTGCAAAAAAAAAAAAAAGAATAAAAAGAAAAGGAAACCGAAATTGAAACGTATAAATTTTTTACTCGTTCGATTTGTCAGTTTGCAAAAGTGTTTTTGCCATCGTCACTTTTTTTTTTCATCCGGTTATTTATAGCAAAATGAAAAAAAAAAAATTTTATAACGTTTGCTACAACGAGTGAGCGATGATGATGATGATGATGAGTCCATCTTAAAATTTATTACGCGTTTTAAAAATTTATTATTTTTATTTTATTTTATTTTTTATTTTTTTATTCGTTATTAGAATCATCTATAAAATTTTTTTTTTTTTTTTGTTTTCGTGTGAAGGTTTAGTGAAGGATAGCAAAAAGTTTTTTTTGACTTAAAAAAAAAATTAATAATAATAATAATAATAACAAGACAAGGATTTTTTTTTGTATTAAATAAAAATGAACGTAAACATTTAAATGGAACTAAAAACACTTTCGGAAGTGGGGCGCGAAAAAAAGGAAGGTGTATTGATGATAACGATATATAAAAAAAAAGGTTTTTTATAAAATAATATGTCGATGTTCTTCTTCCGGTTTCACAATCTTCGTCGCGAAGAAGAAAACAAACGTTTTAAAAAGGCAAAAATGACTCGGGAATGTGCACCGCCGTCACCGAGCAGCACGAGATCGGAAACGAGACCCGTTTACGGTCATTATACAAATTCCATAATATCTGGAGCTGGAAGACTTTTCGAAAAAACTCCGTTGCAACCGTCGGATAGTTTAGACGAAATCGCACTTCAAATACCAAGGTACGATACCCATCTATCTATCTATCTATCTATCTTTGTTTTTTTTCTCACGTGAACGTTTTAAAAAAAAAAACGTTCATTGTTTTTGGTTATTGGTTTGTTTGTTTGTTTGTTGTTGTTGTTGTCATCGTTTAAAAAGCAAAACAAAAAAAAATCTTGTTTGTTATGTCTTTCGCTAAAGAACAAAAAAATTATTATTATTATTATTATTTTCATTTCAAATGGTTTGAGTAAATGAAAAAGTTTTATTTTTTTTTATTTTTTATTTTATTTTCGTCGTTTTTCTCCTGGAGAAAAAAAAGAAAGAAAATGTCGTAGAAAAGAATTGACGGAAAGAAGATGGAATGATATTTTTTATCTTCTTCTTTTTGGATGGAAGGCAAAAAAAAGGAGAAATAAGTTTAATAAAAAAAGAATAAAAAAAAATAAAAAATAAAACTGAGAAAAAAAACATTTCCGCTTTTTATTATTATTATTATTATTATTATTATTATTATTATTATTAGATGAAATTCTTGAAAATCTTTTTTGTCTTTTCTGTTCTCCCCTTCATAGCCATCCCCCTTCCCCTCCCCATTTTGAAATGACGTCACTCAAACAACATGTTTTTTTTTTTTTTTGAAAAATTTTTTTTTTTACCGGACTTAAAAACGTAATACACGATTACGTAATTTTTTTTTTATAAAAACCCTTTTATCGCGTTTTATTTTCAATCCGATTTCCCATAAATAAATCCGATGGTAATTCATTTGTGGATTAATTTTCTCGGATTAAAGATTAGTAATAATAAAAGGAAGGAAGGAAGGAAGGAAGGAAGTTTGTGTTAACATATTATTATTATTTACATTTCGATCAATCAAATAATAAATTTAATTTTTTTTTTTTCCTGCTATACAAGTCGTAACTTGACAAAATTTTACCAAGAGTCATAATAATGATAATAATAATAATAGCAATACAATCGTTTTTATCTTTTTTTTTTTTTTTTTAAACAAAAGTTGACATTTTATTTATTTATAGATTTTGCTAGAAAAAAAATTAGAAGAAGAAGAATGTGACGTTTTTTTTTTTTTTTTAAATCTTTATTGTTTTTTTTTTTTTTTTTCATTGCCAACCAACAACAGTAAGAGTTTGAAATTTCCGTTAAATAAACGGCAGAAAAGTTTTTTAAAGTTTAGTATTAGTATTATTATTATTATTATTATTATTACTATTGCTGTTGTGGTGTTGAATTACGACTTTTGTAAGTTTTTTTTTTTTGTTACGGTTAATTTTTTGAGTTTGTTACGTAATAGTTTGTTTATTTGGTCACGGGTATAAAAGTTAAAAAATTTTGTGTTAACGATTTGATAAATTTTTGTACGTTTTTTTTTTTCGGGGGGGGGAGGCAGGCAGCAGAAAACGGTTTGATTTTTATGGTCTGTTACTGAGAAGATGAAAATTAGTTACCGAGACAGAGGAAATTATTATTATTATTATTATTTTTTTTTTTTTTTCTCGTTATTGTTTATTGTAAATCCATCAAAAAATGTGTCGATCGATCAAAAAAAATTTAAAAAAATTTTTTTTCTTTTCGTGGGGGGGGGAGACCAAATTATGCCGTGTCGTGGAAGGAAAAATTTATTTTTATCTTTTTCCAACCAGAAACTTGTTTTTTTTTTTTTTTTGCTTTTTTCTCGTGTTTATATTTAATTTTTTTTTTTTTTGGTTCACATATGGGAAAACAACTTAACGGAAGCGATAATGATAATGATAATGATAATAATGATAATACTAAAATTTTTTTATTTTTTTTATTGATAAAAAGAGGAAGAAGTAATTTGAAAAAGGTTAAGTGATCGTCAAATAAAAATACGTAAAAATCTTTAAAAAAAAAAAAGAGACATTATTTAAAAACGGAAATGGTTCATCTTCTACTTCCTTTTTTATTTTATTGCGGTTTTTTTTTAATTACGATGAGATGAAAGAGGTTTTTCTTTTTATGTCAAAATTCAAAAAGCTCGAAGAGGAAAAGTTTTTTTCTCGTCGTCGGTCATTCGTCCGTCGGTTTCCCGACATTTTTTTTTTTTTTTTTAATTTAAACGCTCAGCTCAAATCTTTAATCTTTATTAGGTATTTTCTAACATGTTTTTTTTTTATAAATGAAAATAATAATAATAATAATAATAATAATAATAATAATAAGAGCAACGTAATCGAATTTGAAAGGAAGAAAAAGGAAACGCGTAAAAATTATTAACAAGTTTTTAATTTTTTATTTCTTTTTTTTTTTTACAGGTAAGATTTCAAAATGAAAATAACATCTACATCCAGGTACGAGGGTGGGGGGAAGGGTAAGTTTTGATATACGTGATTTATTTCCGGTCAATTCAAAAATTAAAAATTCAAATCTTAATTCAAAAAATGTCGTACAAACGTTTAACACATTTTAAAATTTTTATATTTTTTTTAATCGGAGGATTTAAAACGAAAAAATTTTTTTTCTATTTTCTAACGGGGGAAGGGGGTAGGGGGAGGTGATATCCCCCCCTGAATAACAAATAAAAAAAAAACTTTTTATTTTAACTGAAGTGAATCATGCGACGGCGAATTATTCTTTTATTTATATATTTTTATTTTTTTCTCCAAAAACAAAAAAAAACTGGAACGGAAAATTAAACGTTAGAAAAAGAAAAAAAAATCGAAATGAAAACAACAAATGTTGTTAATTGTTGTAAATCACGAATTATTTATTAATTATTTATTTAAACAAAAGGAAAAAAAAGTTTTTTAAACAAAAAAAAAATTATAAATAAATATTTAACCCGAAACCTTTTTTTTTTGTCGAGATTGAAAAAGGTTAAAAGAATAATAATAATAATTTTTATTTTACTCGTAATTATCACTATTCAAAAACAATTATTAATAATAATAATAATAATAATAATAATTATTCGTGTTTTTATTATTAGTTTTATTTCGTGTGATAAGAATAAGCGGAAAGAAATTTTTATTTTTTTGACGACGAAAGAAAATTTGTAAATGATGACGTCAAAATCTCGAAAAAATGAAAGAGGAAGGAAAAGGAAAATGGATAAAAAATATTTTTTTTTTTTTCGCAAATTGGCGACAATTTGGAACGTATAATTGCGACGTGCCGACATAATTGAAAAACTTTTAAACGTTTGGCTGCGTCTTACTTAAAAATTTGCGCTGGAAATGATCAAGGGTGTAATTTAATATCATATAATATTTTCGCGCCAAAATAATTTGAAATTTATTCAGGCGGTGAAAAAAATCAGTCGGGATTTTTCCTTTTTCTCATAAATGTAATCGTTAAACTTGTATCATGACTGAGGAAAAAAAAATGTTTTCTTCATTTATGGAAAACAATTTTTTGGCGCGTTTTCCTCAAATTTAAAAAAAATATCGTGCGTAAATTAAAAACGAAAGAATAATAATAATAATTAAAAAAAAGGAAAAAAAATTTTTTTTTGCTGGAAAATGATTCGATTGAAACCTTTTTTTTTTTTTTTTTTTTTTTTCCGTTCCGACGGACACGAAACAAAAAAATTTAACGGTAGCAAAAATGTTTTTTTTTTTTTTTTCGCTTTTGCTTTTGTTTAATTATATAACATTTGATGGTTCCCGCACGCGAGATCCGACTAATTAGATATATTATATAAATAAATGTTTAAAATCATGTAAGTGTGAATGAAAAGGGAAAATGTTTTTTTTTCTCTTTCTCTCTCTCTCTCTCTCTTTTAAACTTCATTAATGAATTCTTCTTTTTTTTTTTTTTTTTTTTGTATTAAGTGAGAAAAAACACGTCATATTTTTTTTCATTTATATTATTTAAACGTATTAAATAATGTGTTTCGTCCATTTCCGGTTTTTTTTTTGTTTGGTTCGTTATGAAAAATACCGACAGATGAACGAGATGAGATGATTTTTATTTACACGTAAAAATTTGGGTTGATGAGTATTATTATTATTATTTCTCACTCTTTCTCTCTCTCTCTCTCTCTCTCTCTCTCTTTTTATTTCCTCTATTTTTGTTTTTATTTTCGTATTCGAGGAAAATCGCATGGGAAACGTATAAAAAAAAAAAATGTCCTTTTTTTTTTGTTTCTAATTAATTTTTGTTTGTTTGTTTGTTGTTGTTGTAACACGAAGGGTTTTCGTCAGGACAGGTGTTGTTGAAAAAATCAAAAAATTAAATTTACAAAAAAAAAAACTTTTTTTTTTTTTTTACATAACAACGGAAATGAAAGAGATACATTTGTAGAATAATCTAGAATAATTTTCCGAAAATTTAAATTTCCCGCTCGATAAAAAAAAATATAATTCATCATTATTATTATTATTATTATTATTATTATTATTACTATTATTCCCGTCCATTATTTTTATAATTTCAATAGAGATACTAATGATTAGTGGGCGATCGAGATAATAATAATAATAATATGAAAAATAAAAAAAAGAAAAAAAAAGAAATCGAAAATAAGATTTTTTTTATTTTTTTTATTTTTGTTGTTGTTTACGTGGAGTTCGTAAACAAGGGTTGCCACCACGTAAAAAAAAAAAAAAATTATTATTATTATTATTGAAAGTGTGAATAAAAATGTCGTCTGTGTGTGACTGTGTATGTGTGTATGAAGGATTTTTTTTCTTTTTTTTTTACCAGTTGAAAAGGGTTGTTGTTTAGTTTAAGAAAATGAATGTAAAATATAAATTGGCGTCAGAACGGATTCACAGTTTTCAAAGCGTTCGCTTTTTTGTCGGGGAAAACTTTTAGTTCAACTTTCGCTTTTCACTCGTTCGCACGCATCGCTTTCACGTTTTATTATTATTATTATTATTATTAATATTATTATTCATTTTTATTTTATTCACGACGTATTCGGTATATGTAAATATAAATATTGCGGTGTATTATTATTATTATTATTATCGATTGATTTTTGGGAAAAGTGGGGGAAAACTTGTAGGGGAAATTTGTCGGAATTATGTAAATGAAAAACGGTTTTTTTACTAATAATAATAATAATTATTATTAAATATTTTGTACGTTTTAAATCGAGAGTGTCAGTCAATCAGTCAGTCAATCAATCGTGCGCCATTTTACGATTCATTCTTTTCTTTTTTTTTTTTATTCGATTCTATTTTTTTTATCGTTCTCTCTCTCTCTTTCTTTCTTTCTTTCTTTCTTTCTTTTTTCATTTTCCTGTCAATTTTTAAAAATAATTTACGAGT